ATTCAGTGGCAGACAGCAAGTAAAGAAGTCATGTAAGGTACACTTCACTGTTGACAGTGTAGGATATGTAATACTGATTTTGTACATCAATTCACATAGATGTTATATTTGCAGCCAGTTAGACAGCCACGTAATGAATGAAAGTAAGACAGGTTTGGACATGGTGCAGAACAGAATATCACAGCATTTTAACTTGTGTTAGTTTTCTTGGAACATCAAGAAAAGAGATTTACACCAATACTTACAAGAACACAGGAACGAAGAGCAGGAGAGGGACTTTCAGCCACTAAGCCTGCTTTGCCATTCAATAAAATCATGGCTGATTTGATTGTGGGCTCAACTACAATTTTCAGTCCACCACCCCATAACCCATAACCCATAACCCTTGACTCCATTGCTACTCATAAATCTCACTCAGACTTGGATATATTCAATGAAACAGCCTCCATTGCTTTCTGGGGAAGGGAATTCCATAGACTAACAAACATCAGAGGGAACTACTTCTTCTCTCAGTCTTAAATGGAGAACATTTTTTAATGTCACTTAGTCTGGACCCATTCATTCCCACAAGGAGAAACATCTTCTCAGCAGCTACCCCATCAAGCATCCGTAGAATCTTGTACATTTTAATAAGACCACCTCTCATTTTTCTAAACTCCAATGGATATAGATCCAACCAACTCAACTTTTCCTAAGATAATTGCTTGTTACAGAATAGATGTGGAGGAGCCAGTGTCGGACAGGGGTGGACAAAGCCATAAGTCACATGACACCAGGTTATAGTCCAACAGGTTTATTTGAAATCACAACCTTTCAAAGCACTGCTCCTTCATCAGGTGAAGTCTTTTCACATTAAAAGGAGCAGCGCTCCGAAGGCTTGTGGCTTCAAATAAAAACCTGTGGGTCTACACCATGGTGTCATGTGATTTCTGACATTACAGGCAGCACTATTCTAATTAGTAGTGGATCTGTGAAACAGCATGACAATATAAACAAACAGTCACTTATGCCAAAAAAAGGAGCAATACTTGTAATGCTAGGCACTATTCTGGCCAAGATTTCTCCCTCAAACAACATTACATAAAGAAAAGGATCTGGTCATGATCACACTACTGTTTGTGGGATTTTGCTGCATGCAAACTAGCTGACACATTTCCTACATGACAACTGTGACTTCATTTCAAAAGTGCCTCATTACCTGTAAAACAGAGATATCCAATGGTTTTGAAATTTTTCATTTAATATCTCATTTTGATAAGTAACAGAACTATAACTATAGTAGTATATTAAACTAAAAGTAAAACAACTTATATTTAGGATATTTGAGGGATACTAATTCAAAGCTGAACTTCCCATGAAGTGCAAATCTCACAAACAATTGACTGTAGCTTTATTGTTGGGTGTGCCCTAATAAAAGTTGAGCTGCAATCAAATTTAAAACTGTCAAGTCATTCCCACATCCTATCTCTGCCAAAAAGAGCTGGAAAATTAAACAATGAAATCCAAATCAAATCTTTAGCAATTCAAGGTCAACACAATGTTTTACTTTCTTTTGGAATGAGGGACTGTTTACATTGCCATGCTATTTCACAGATCCAGTACTAATTAGAAGAGTGCAACAATATAATATGCAACTGCAGTATAAAAGAAGTGGGTTGAGACGGTGGGTAAGAAAAATTAAGAGATCTGGCTGTGAAATTTGGTTGTCAAATACCAAAAGGTTTTAGTGAAATACAAGAACGCTGAAAATGCATGAAGTGCAATTTTCAATTATGAGTGAAGCAAAGTCAGCTTGATTACAGCTGTAACGAAGGCAAGCTTTGCCCAGGATATGACATGTCAATTCTATAATCTCTCATTTCCTCCTCAAAACATCCCTAAAACCAACAACAAGTAAACAATGATGTTGGTCATTTGCGTGAAGCACTGCATGAACTGTAATCCAAAATTAATCAATCCACAACAAAAACAGAACGTCAAACTTGTTCCATTTATAGTACAATGGAGATGGTGGGTTCAAGCCCCACTGCAATTCCTGAGCACAATCTAGGCTGACATTGCAACAATGTAAATTCTCCAGTGCTGCAAGGGCTATCCTTTAAAAGGAGATGTTAACAATAAATCAGATAAATGACTAAATACTTGGAGTAATCTTTATTGAGCAAGCAGTCATGTTATCGTATTGTATCATAAGCTCCAGGCTGCTTACTGAAGTCATTATTCTAAAGTAAATGACTTCTGAAAATTAAAATTTAAAGAAGGGCTCTGTATAAAAGTAAATATTATTGTTCAACATTCTTTATTGATTTATTACAATACATCATTGATATATTACTATTTAACCTACACTGGTTACATATGACAAACTATAATTCAATGGTGGAATAAAAACTGAGAAAACTGCAGATGCTGTAAATCAGGAACAAAAACAAAGTTGCTGGAAAAGCTCAGCAGGTTGGGCAGCATCAGTGAAGAGAAATCAGAGTTAACGTTTTGGGTCAAGTGACTCTTCCTCAGAACTGATGGTAGCTAGTGATTTTTCAGTTGTGAGCCAGTTCAAAATGTTTTCGAACTGAAGTGGAATCGGCTACTATAATATTCTGATAATAGTGATCAATTTTTGAGTTTGACTTCATTCACATACTAATTTACAACTGCACTGGGAAATTTAGATAGGTTTTGGGAAGTTGTAATGAGAGCTTGATCTCTGCTTCTCTAGGGCATAATCTTCAATTTACGATATAACTGGAATCAAGTGGAGGCTGGTATGATTGCAGTTTGCCTAGTCACTGACTGTACCACATGTGTTTTGGCTATAAGTAACATAGTTTAATATCTGGTTTTGCTGATGGAGAACCTTTGAATAAACTTTATTTATTTTATATTGTTGCAACAATGCCTCCCGAACATTTGGTGTTATCTTTCATGACATGGTAATCAGAATTTTCAGGCTCATGATCAACTTGATATGTCATTAAAACAAAACTTACATGTCTAGTGCCTTTAATGTACTGCAGGGTCTCAAGTTGCATCACAAAATAAGAAACTAATTTAAATGAGGACATATTAGATCAGAGGACCAAACATTTGGTCAAAGAGATGACTTAATGGAGAAAGATCTCAAAGATACCAAGAATTGCAGATGCTGGAGTCAGAGTCAAATGAGAAAAATGAGGTAAAGAGGCAAAGAACTGTACAGAGGGAAGTCCAAAGCTTGGGGTCTAGGTAATTGAAGGCATATCCATCAAAGTTGGGTTATTAAAATTGAGATGTACAAGAGACTAGAATTAGAGGAGCATAGATATCTTAAAGTATTGTGGAGCTGAAGGAGATTACAGAGGTAGGGAGATGAGAACATGGAGAAGTTTGAAAATAAGGATGAAACTTTGGAAACAATCATACTGCTTGTCAGGGAGTCAATGAAGGTCAATGAGTAGATGGAACGTGAAGTAACTAGACTTGCTTTAGAACATAGAACAGTACAGCACAGTACAGGCCCTTCGGCC